TATTGCATTTTTTCTTATGGGAGTTTAATTACAAGTTTATTAATTTTTATTTGTTAAGAACAAATAACAGTATTTCAAAACAAAACAAAAAACATTTTAAGTTTTTATTTTCTAATTTTTGCAACCGATTTATGCCTTAAAAATTAGAAAATATTAACTAACTTATAGAAGTAAAAATAAAAAACCCTTTCTACGTGTTTATTAAGAATATCCTCCATTTATTAAAATTGGACTAAAATTCCCTCCCAACCTTTTATTGCCATCCCACCTTGTAATATGCTCCAGAGAGTAACTTAGCAATAATGAAACTAAACAGTTTCAACCATATAAAATTGTTTTATTAGTTATTAATGACTTGCTTTTTCTGTTTTCTTGGTATTTTCATAAAATCAGACCCTAAATTTTAGAAAAGATTTCAAATCTTACTGAGGGTAAAATGAATAATAAAAATGGAGATGTATAGGCTCAGTTTTTTTTTCAAAAACTGTCTGGAATAATTGTTGTCTTTCCTAAACCAAAAACAAAAAAATTGTAACATGTTCATAAAATTATTAGTTATAAAGCATTTTCATATTTATTAAAGTAAGGCAAATATAGAACTTGGAAAAAAATATATTAGAAACCTGAAAAACAAAATAATACAAAATAAAACCAAAAAGTTATAGTAATACCATTCACTTAAATGTTATTACTATAACAAGTTATATATACGTTATATTATCTCCAGAATTAATAAATAGAGGGGAGAGGGTTCTTAATAAACAGGTAATAGGGAATTTTTATTTTTATATCAGTAAGTTTATATTTTTTAATTTTTGAGACCTAAACGGGTCTCAAAAATTAGAAAATAACTGAAATGATTTTTTTCAACAACCTTTTTTCACCGATTTATAAGTTGCAAATTTAAGTTAATTTGACTTTTTTTTACTGTTTAAGAAAAAAATACTCTCCAATTCTCAGTAACAATTAAACTAATTAAAATATCATCTGGAAAAACTAATTAAAATATCATCTGGAAAAAAAGGAGAGGTACATCAGCATTTTTGTAACTAAACTCGTCTCAGTGAAATTGCAATGCCAAATGGACTGAAATTTTGGGATTCTAAATTTTGGACCCCTTCAGATTTTGATGAAACTTAGTAGGTTGGTTTATATCAACAAGAAAAGTGATTTCCGAAAATTTCAGCTTAGAATCTTTTGTGGTTCATGAGATATTGCCATTTGAAATTCCTTATTTTTTCAAAAATTAAAAACTTCATTAGCAAAAACATGTTTTGTTCATACTTTGAAGCTCTGTATTTTAAAAAACCTTGAAAAAAAAAATACCTTGACATTGAATTTTTTAATGTCACATTTTATTCATAATGGCTGCCTAAAAAACTTTAAAAATTGTTTGCAGATATAAAAAGTTGATTTTTGATGGGTCAATATACAAAATTAGCAACTTTTGAAGTAAAAAGACATCTTTTGAGTTTCTATATATGGTAGACTACCTAATATTTAAAAATTTGCTGATAACAATTGATTCAGTAAGAAATAATGGACTCCTAAAAATGGCGCCGGGTAAAACTTTAAAAATTGTGCCTTCCTTTTAAACCACCAGTAACCTAGGATCAACACTGATTTTCATTATAAATTTTTTTTTTATTGGTTTAACAGACTTTATTAAAGTGATTTCAGAAAAAAATTGGTGGGTACTCATGGGGAAGTGACAAAATCAGAGCAATCAAGTTAGCATAAAATACATTAAAAACGATAAAAATAAAGGTATTAATGTACTTAAGTTTTCATTATCTACTGCAATGCAAAAAATATATATGTATAAAAGTGTATCATAATCATTACTAGAAATAAGCTATAAACTAAGACTAAATTAAACTCAGTTTTAGAATAGCCTTAGTTGCCTCCCCTCCCCCTGTCAATTTACTTTTTAACATGCATATTTTTCCACAGAACATGCCTATCATAAGAAGAACTTTTTTCTTGATTAATTTTATTAATTATTAATTAAACATTTTACCTTAAGCAGTGTGTCATATAAAAGCTGTCACATTTTGTTTGTAAAGTTAAATAGTAATTAGAGTACATATAAAAGTTACACATTAGGTAAATAATGAAAACAAAGACTTTTTATTTTATTCTTATTATCTGCCTAACTCATATTTGTTTTCATATCACTTATTTTCTTACTATTTCATATTCATACTACAAATTTTGTATAATTTTTCCGAAAGTATTCGCTATTCCGCCCTTCCCAATTTATTTGATTCTCATTGTTTAAATTTAGGTTACAGATTGCACCATGTGATAAGAGTTATTTGATTTGTCATCACAATACACAAATTTATTATGTAATATATATATATATATATATATATATATATATATATATATATATATATATATATATATATATATATATATATATATAATTACAACCCTCGGAATTAGGAAAATTGAGGTCGGCAATAATTTGCCAACCTCAATCTTTTAAAGGTTGGCATCAGGTTGGCAAATGTAAATGTCTTACCATAAAACATCGAAACAAAGTCGACAAAACCGAATTTTTTTTGCCGACCGCGAACACGTTTAGGTCGGCAGTTAGGTCAGCATTGCCGAATGCCAATCCTAATTCCGAGGGTATAAAATAATGGTGGTATCTTGTTCCTGGAATTGTTGAAAAAGTAGCATAACATTCTTATAATTTAAAATTTATGCAATATAATGTAACTGCATCATTTGAAATGTATTGAAAATGTATTTCTTTAACATTTTGTCAACAACAACCTCGAACAGGAATACACCACTTTGGTCTTAGTTCGCAAAACTTAGAAAATTCAATCTTGACATCAAGGAAATTTTAACAAACTCTAAATAAAGTTCTTTTATATTAAGTTATAGTAGTCCTTTTTGAAAATGTTGTCTTTTACCATCGACTTAGATTGAGACATACTGGTTTTTTTCCTGGAAACATTTGAGAATATTCATCTGATTGGTAGAACTCATAAACTTTATTTTTTACTTTCTCACAAATAGGTCTTGCCTCTTTTTTAGACAGTTCTGCTATTATGCCATGCATTTGTTTCAAATGTCTTGCAGCTTTTATCATTCTTTGCGAAGCAGAAAAATAGTTTTATGTATGACCAATGTTCCAACTCTCAGGAACGAAAGTTAGTAATTTAAGTTTTCCTAATTTTGAAGAAATATCAAACTTTGCTTTAATTAATTCCATTAGTGAGTCCAAGTCTTGTTTACTATCACAACACTTTTTTCCTTTTTTTTATATAGGTGCCCCAAGAAGACCTAACGGTCTTTTCACAGAGCACCGCAGAAGTGCATTTAACCAGAAAGTTTACGCCTCCTTCCTTACCACGACACAAAATATTTCCAAAGCTCGTTTTGAACCTGGATCTCCTGCTTATAAAGCAAGCGCTCTAACCACTGTGCCATGGCCACAACATAGTTCTTTTGTTTTTCATTCATCGTTTATTAAATGAGAGAACTTCTAAAACAGTTATTTTCTTTTTGGTAGCAGTATGGATCTTTCTTTTTGCATAGCTGACACTGTCTTTAGGAGAACAACCTAGGCTATTAAAACTTAAATTAAAGTTTTCTTTTGAAATGTGATTCTCATTAAAATCATTGTCTTTATTTTTACATGAATCGCTTTCATGATCTTTTTTGCTATTTTTTAAATACAATATTTTACGACATTCTGTACAGTTCAGCAACACTGATTACTCTGACAGATTTGAAATAATTGATAAAGTCAAGTTATTTTTAAATACTTTTTATTTTAATTTTGTGTATTTTATCTATATTTTTATTGTTTTTAATGTATTTTGTGCCAACTTCATTGCTCTGATTTTGTCACTTCCCCATGAGTATCCACTAATTTTTTATCTGAAATCACTTTAATAAAGTCTGTTAAACCAATTAAAAAAAAAATTATAATGAAAATCAGTGTTGATCCTAGGTTACTGGTGGTTTAAAAGGAAGGCACAATTTTTAAAGTTTTACCCGGCACCATTTTTAGGAGTCCATTATTTCTTACTGAATCATGTTATCAGCTTTTTTTTAAATATTAGGAAGTCTACCATATATAGAAACTAAAAAGATGTCTTTTTACTTCTTAAGTTGCTAATTTTGTATATTGACCCATCAAAAATCAACTTTTTATATCTGCAAACAATTTTTAAAGTTTTTTAGGCAGCCATTATGTATAAAATGTGACATTAAAAAATTCAATGTCAAGGTATTTTTTTTTTCAAGGTTTTTTAAAAAACAGAGCTTCAAAGTATGAACAAAACATGTTTTTGCTTATGAAGTTTTAATTTTTGAAAAAATAAGGAATTTCAAATGGCAATATCTCATGAACCACAAAAGATTTTAAGCCGAAATTTTCGGGAATCGCTTTTCTTGTTGATATAAACCAACCTACTAAGTTTTATCAAAATCTAAAGAGGTTCATGTCGGACCCTGGTTCACTTGGCATGGAATGACCCAATATAGGTTAAAACTTTAGGTGTTAAGTTCATTTTAAAATGTTTTAAGTTATTTTATTGGATTTTCAGCCTTAAAATGAGCAAGTGTACATGTTTTTAGCTTTTATTTGCCTACAGAAGAGACCATAAAGCCAAAACCATTTTTTAAAAATGACGTATATTTCTTGGTTCAAGGCAAAGTTACAATAGTTATATTTTTGAAACCATTTGGAATTAGATGATGAAGTTTTAGAGATGTCATTAAAATCTTTGAAAGATTTTTGAATCAGCAAAATTTGAGACTTAGGCATTGCATTTTATAAAAAAAAATTAGATGTATTTACATGGAATTACTCATATAAAGGTGAACCACCTATATTTAACAGTTAAATTTTTATTTATGTATAAGTATTTTCTATAATATAAAAAAAAGCTGTATTACATTGTTTTAATACTTGCATATATATTTTTAGATATAAACATATTATTATATTTAGATAGAAACATATATCTTACCATCATCTTCTTTGCAATAAAAAAAATCATACAATTCTTTTTCATAGACTTTATCTATATAATTAAATTTTATATCAAGCCCATTAATATTTATTTGCTGCCTATATTCATTTGGGTACAATTGCATTTGGATGTATGGTAAATTAATTTTTTGATACAAGTAACTAAAGTACAACGGAGCAGATGGAATATTATTTTCACTTATTATATTATAACCGGTAAGTGCAGCAACAGCTAATACTGATGATTCAACAGATTGATAAGAAATAAAAGCAAAAGATTTTTGTGGAACCATGGTTAGATCTTTTACAGAACCGTATTTAGAAAATAAAAGTAATAACGACTCTCGTGCAACTCCATTTAAAAGGCCTGCATTTCCTACAAACAAATGTTGAGTTGGCTGCAAAGAAATTTTAGTATCTTCAAAATCTTTTAAAAGTCGGACAGTTTTTTTTTGCAATTTTCTTGTTGTTTTTTCAGTTTTTTTTTTATTGTTATTAGATTCCATTACAAGCTCAAAGTTTATTAGTATTTTACAGATTGATTACAATATAAAACTTAATATTTTTATTAATATTAATTGCGTATTATTTTCCTATTTCTATTCGCACCAATGTCGCGCGATTCTTACAAAAACGCTACCACTCACCACGCGTTTTGCAATTAACGGCAAAAGCTTACTCGCTCAATTCGCAACTCAACTCGCAAATAACGGCAAAAGCTTAACTCACCACGCGTTTTGCAAATAACGGCAAAAGCTTATTCGCTCAACAAGAAAAGTAAAAATTAAAGATTTAATCTGGTGACGTGTTTATAAAAAGCTTATTTATTAAAATAAACTTGTCTTTCTTATTTAAACTGAATATTCTATTTTAATACCATTTTTTGGATGTACCGGATATGTTAAATATTGTAAAAGAATAAAGTTTCAAGAGGTGCCCCCCTTCCCTAGTGATGCCCCCCTAACTGAATAGATTTTGGAAATTTTTCTAAATTTGCAAACACGAAGAATTATAAATATAAATATACGATTTTTTTTTTTTTTCGTATTTTGTATGAGTATAGATATTTTGTTTGAACTCGATTTTAATATATCATGGCAACATTAACAAAAATTAAAAAAATGTTAAAAGAAATGTTCATGGAATTCAAGAAAGATTCAAGAAAAATTATTCATTTAAAAAACGCGGTAAAATACTCAATCAAAGTTCCAAAGTAAAAGTAATACATTTTTTATTTATTTAACTTTCCTTTTTTTTTTTATTATTTTTTTTTACCTGTATTTTTAAATGGCGGAAACAATTATTTATAATTTTTTTAATACATTTTCTGGTGAAAATGTATGTCACTTTTCAAAGGACATTGATCCTGACGTAAACATTCTTGACAATTGAACCCGTCATTTCGAAAAGGGCACAAGTCACACTTTTTTCAAATTTCACTTTTTAATGCAATTTTATTTATTCAAGTGTTTTACATATTCCCTTTGAAGGAGAAACATTTTCATATGCCACAAGTCAACTTTAAATGCAAATGAAAATTAAAGTCTGTTTGAAAATGGCACAAGTCCCGGACTTATGCCTTTTCAAGTGAAACAAAGCGCAACTGTAGTGACGTAATTTCACTTTTTTTGTAACAAAAATGGAAAAAGCGAACTTGCTGAAAATGCATATAGATCTAGAAAAAGAGTGTCTGGTTTAAGAAACAGTGGAAATTATAAACACAAAAAAATAAAAAAAGCCAAAATTGCTGTGGCACCAAGTCAAACGGGTGCTTCTTGCAGGTTAGTTTTTGTTCTGTAGAGTATGACTATATTCGTTCTCAAGTTTATGCATATTTACTCATGTTTTACCACCAATAATTGGAGGTAAAACATCTTGATATATAATTATTACAATATTACCTCAATAATTCTATTTATTTACAGATGTAATTCAAAGTGTATGGAGCTTGTATCTGAAGATTTTATAGAAAGTACAATTCAGTCTGTTAAAAAATTTGATTGTAAAAATGCTCAAGGCACATACTTGCAGTCATTGATTGAAAAGAGGGACGATGGTTTAGATCTAAAGAACCTAAGAAAAAAGAATTTTCTTTTATTTATCACATTAAGATTGAAGGTGTGATAAGAAAAGTACGCAAGAAATCTTTTTGCTGTATGCATGGAATTTCAACTAAACAAGTTAGACATTTATGCATTATATAAAAAAAAAGAGCAGCCTATAGATTACAGAGGTAAATCTCTATGATCACGATGCAATGCATTACCTGGAGATACATTAACAAAAGTACGTGAGCGAAGTATGTACCTTTGTGCTGAATTATATTTTTAAAAATATTGGCAACAAAACCAAAGAGCTGCACCTATTTTCTGATGGTTGTGCAGGCCAAAACAGAAATCATGCCACGGTCCAAATACTTTTATCACTGGTAGCTGAACTAGATATAAATGAGATACAATATTACATACCAAAAAGAGGTCACTCATTCTTGCCAAACGATAAAATGTTTGGAACAGCAAAACGACATTCAAAAAAATGATCGGATTTACACACCAACGATGTAAAAAAATGGTGGCTAAACCATTAAAAGAAACTTGTGCTATCTGTGGATTTCTATAAAAAAGGAAGTACCCAAGGACAAAAAACTTACTTTTGGTATTTCTAAAATTTCACATTTCACATTCTCTAATACTACAGCAGGTTTAGTGAAAACATGTGAATGCATAGATTGCTTAGTCAGTTATAATTTCCAGCTATTACAAAGGATGGGTACCCGGTCAACCTTACCATTAAGTAGTACTCCTGCATATGTTGGAAAATTACCTATCAATGAAAAAAATATATCAGATTTGAAAAAAATATGAAAAAATATATTCCATATTCAATAGAAGAGTACCAAAACTTCTATACAAAGGTTTTTGCTTCGGCAAACAATGAATTCCAAGAAATAATTGATGATTACCTAACAATAAATGTTTTTGTGTAATAATAAATCATTATTATTCTGATAATCTTTGGTTTTTTATATACAAAAAAGCGTTTATTTCGAAAAAGACATAAGTCCATAAACTTAAATTAGAAATATATGTGTTATATATTATTTTTTTATAACAAATAAAACTCTAAAAACTTATGTATAACTTTTATATATCTACTGTTATCTTTAGTTTCTTTAGCACCATAGACTTTTTTCTAATAAAGTTATTTTTGTTGATCCTGAAAAGTTTGAATAAATGAACTTGTGCCCTTTTCGAAATGACGGGTTCAATTATTCCTTAGAAACTAACTATTTTAATGTTCATGAGGTTACAATTATTTTAAATAAATATAAATATTAGAAGCATGAGTAAAAATTTTGAAAATCTAAAATTAATGCTAAATAATATAAGTTTTAAATTCAGTATAATCTGTTTTACAGAAACCTGGTGTCAGAGTGAATGTATGAGTAACTCTAATTTGCATTTAACAGATTACAATTCTGTTCACCAACCGAGAAAAAACGGTATTGCCGGAGGCGTATGCATATTTATTCACAACTCGTTGACGTATAAAAAAGTAGATAGTCTAAGTGTGAATAACTCGAATTGCGAATCATTAACTATAGAAATAATAAACCAAAAAGAAAAAAATTCGTATATAACAGTTTTATATCGACCACCCAATAGCAGTTACAATCGATTTGAAAATGACTTAAGGCGAATATTATATATTAATTCAAACCTCTAAAAAATATTAATTTAGACCTCTAAAAAACATCTATATTTACTCGGAGACTTTAATTTAAACTTGATAAATTTAAACACTGATAACCACGTAAAAAGTTTTATAAATACTCTTTCTCAATTTAGTGCTTACCCCATGATTAACAAGCCGACGCGTGTAACTCGAAAAACATCATCTATTATTGACAATATTATCACTAATAATTATAGTAACTCGACAATCAACAGTGATGTAATAAAAACGGATATTAGTGACCGTTTTCCTGTTTTTTAACAACAAATACTAAATGCTGTATAAATAAAAACCCATAACAGTATACATAAGGCATGTAAATAAAGACTCGATTACAATTTTTAGACAGCTTTTGCGTGATATCAATTGGGAGCTTTTGTATGATTGCAATGATACATGTAACGCATACGAATTCTTTATCCGCGTCTTTACAAGGCAATATGATAAAGCTTTTCCTAAAGTTCGAAAAAATATAAAATCCAAAAGTTGCATAGCCCGTGGATGACTAAAGGTCTTTTAAAATCATCAAAAAAAAAAAAAAAAGCTTTACAAAAAATTTTTAAAAGACAAAAACTATGAAAACGAAACTAAATATAAAAAATACAAAAACTATTATTAAAAACTATTTCGAAAAAATAAAAAAACAATCTAAAAAAAACTTCTGGTCTACTTCAGAAATCATTTGGAAATGCTAAAAAAACTTGGACTATAATAAAAGATATAACAGGGAAAACAAAAATTCCCTAATCGACTGAAAACCGAAAAAGGTGAAATTTTTAATAAAAAAACAATCGCTGAGAGACTGAATAATTTTTTTATAAATGTTGGAAAAAATTTAGCCAAAGAAATCTCTCCAAGTAGCAAAACATTCCAGTCTTTTTTGGAAAAACTTAGATTTTATTATGGACAATTCGGAACTTTCTATTGATGAACTTTGTTCAGCTTTTGACATGCTTCAGACAAATATAAGTGCAGGTCTTGATGAAATTAATGCAAATGTTTTGAAAAGTGTCTTTGACATTATCGAATTGCCTCTTTTCATTATTTTTAAACTCAATACTTGGTCCTCTGCTGTTTCTCTTATATATCAATGACACTTATCTTCTAAGTTTCTTTATTTTTTTATTTTTTGCTGATGATACTAATTTTTTTTTTTCGGGGTCTAATTTAAAGTTTGTTTTTTCTACTGTGTAAACACAGAGCTAATTAATCTCAATGAATGGTTTAAAGCCAATAAACTGTCCGTAAACATTGATAAAACTAAATACATTCTGTTCACGAAACCTTCGAAAAATGATAACATACCCCTAAAACTTCCTGATTTATTAATAAAAAACATTAAAGTAAAAAGAGTTCATTCAATGAAAATTCTAGGTATAATATTTGACGGTCATTTTAACTGGAAAAATCAAATCCAATTAGTGGAAAACAGCATTTCAAAAGCTCTTGGAATCCTTTTCAAAACGAAGCACCTTTTGAATATAATGTGCTTAAAAAGCTTGTATTTTTCATTTATTCATAATCACATTAGTTATTGCAATATAGTGTGGGCAAGTAATTATTCATCTTCTTTAAAAAAAATTAATACCAAACAAAAGCAAGCGAGCCGGTTAATTTTGAGTGCAGGTAGATATGCACGCGCCGAGCCTTTACTTAAAAAAGTTAATGTTTTAAATATTTATAAACTAAACATCTATCAAAATCTGTTATTTATGTTAAAAATTCATTACAACATACTTCCAACATATTTTCAACCTCATTTTACCTTAATTAATCATAAATACTCTACAAGGCATTCCATTGCCAACTTTCTCATCTCTACAACATCCCTTAGAAAAACAGACTTCTCAATTACATGTCGAGGACCACGTTTGTGG